AAAAGGAAAACTGATAAAATTTATTTAAATTAAAAATAAAATATATTTCATATCTAAAATTTTAAATTAATTAAAAAAAAATTATTAATGAAATTTGTTTTAATTAAAAAATAAAATATATCGTGTTGGTGATTTTTTAAATTAAAAAAATATAAAATAATTTGCATAAATTACTGACTGTTTAACGATAAAATTTAACTAAATACATAATTAAAATTCGTCGCTAATCCGTCGGTGAAATGATATACCGACAACATTTAAGCACGAATTAAAACACATGTTACTGTATTAGAGTGTCTGAAGGTGGTCAAGTTAGCCATCAAATAGATATAAACAATCCATGCATATATACCAAAGAACATTAGTGATGGATTTTAATTAATTATGTATTTATTAAAATTTATCCATAACCTGTTAGTAATTTAATCAAATTATTTTATATTTTCTTAATTTGAAAAATCATTGACAACATATTTTTTATTTTTAATTTAAAATACATTTCATCAATAATCTTTTTTAAATATAAGTATTTTTGATATATTTGTTTCATTTATAAATGTAAGTACTTTTATGGTTCAAAAAATGTTTTGAGACTTAATCGTTTTAAAAATATGAAAGTCAGTTGGTTTTTTTTCAGACTTTTTCCATTATTTTATCACATTAACCAGTTTTGTAGGTCATAAGAATGTTGTAACAGGTTTTAGAAAGTCCAAAGAGTTATTTAACATATTTTGAAATGTTCAAGAACTTATTTGTTTCAAAAACTTGTAGAATAACTTAGTCATTCAAAACACTAAAGTCTATTACGTTTTTTTGGACTTTTCTCAAAAATATAATTAAAAACATAACAAGTTTTTATATTATTTCCAATTTGGAAACATGTCAAAGTTTAGATGGATGAAAGAGCCCAAATATGGGTTTGGAAGCCCAATTATATTACTTTTGGTTTGGCCCAAATTTAATTAACACATATATATTTATACGTGCTAAGGGCAAATGGAAACTTCCGTGCTTCATCTTCCTTTCCCAATCCATTTTCCAGAATTTTATCCCTCGATCTTCGACTAATCGCAGTCTTCGACGAACGGCGATAATCCGAATATTCGGTTGTTCACGGTTCAGTAAAACCTAATTGAAGGTACGTTTTCAAAATTTTGAATCAATGGATGATTATGTGTTTTTATTGATACCCTAATTGTTAAATTGCTAGTGTTGTTATGTAGTTTCGATTGTATTCGGAGATCTGACTACGTTTTGATATCTTAATTGCTTGATTGATGGTTTTCTTTTTTCTGATTTTTGGTTGGTTTCTAATTTCAATGGGATTTGAAAGCTGGATTATCGACCCTATTGGTTAGTTGTTTTTCTGCTTTGAGCGTGGAATCCACGATGTCTAAACCCCGTCTCTTCGTCTGCTCTTAGCCAGAGGTCTGAGGGATTACTCCCCCGTTCCTCCTCTGTTACCCTCTACCCTTACCAACCCCTGCTTAGTCCCCCGAACTAGTTACTTTTTTGTAAAATTATGCACCAAGCCCAGCCCAAATCATCCCGCAGGTAATTTGCTTTGTTGTTTACTTCTTTCTAATTTCAGGAATAGCAGTAAGGAGTGGTTGATTTCTTTGAACACCGCTTTCTGTGAATTTGTTATTTGTAGATTAGAACACCCCCTCCGATTGTGTGATCTTTGTGGTGAAGGGTTTGGGGGAAATCCACTGCCAATTTTAGGTTTTAGTTTTAAAATTTGTTACACAGTGGAATTCAGTTTACTTGACTGAGTTGTTTATTGGTTCATTTGAATCCAACACAACTTTTTGTATAAAATTATGTGGAAAAACTATAATTATGTTGAATGTTGATGTATTGATGTTATTGTTGGGATATTGTTATTTAGGATATTAGGGCATGTACTAAGACTACATCCATGATCTATCTCTGAAGTCACTCGTGCATTATGTGATTGTCCAAGAGTCTACGATTTGGCATGATGGTTTTAAAGATTTTTAAGTTCGAATATCATATTGGATTATCTTGTATTGTCTTAGTGTAATTTTTCCACATTTCAATTGTGATTTTTCGATCTTTCCTGAAAAGATATGATGAATTCAAAGTCCTTAAGAATGTGCACCAGAAATTTTCTTGATCTTGAGAGGGGTTAGAGTAGTAGGAGGTAAACTATCAGGAGGATTGTTTTCTGAATAGACTGTTTCACCTATGTAGTACGTACTTGTTATTTGTTATCCATCTCACGTGTTGATGAGGAATATTGAACAATTAGGATATCAGTCTGTGATGGAAACTTGGGAGGTGTTGAGGATGATGTTGGTGCTGAAACTTGCATATTGATCATATCAGATGGATCTTACTTTCAGTTTCTAAAATCTGGTCTTCGGTATCTTGATATAATCAGTCGTAGTAGAGGATGGATCTTGTGTAGTTATTAATCTTTTCTGAAAACTAATGGGCATCTTGTTCATCAATATTCACTGGGTTCATGGCTGATTCAAGAGGCTCTAGATCGAGGTCCTGTCATGGAAATCCAGCCTTACCATCTATTCTAAAAGAATTTTCTGTATAGTTGTTATTTTATAACAAAGTAAGACCATGACCGGCCGGATCCTTTTATCTTAAATTTTTTTTGGATCCTTTTATCACGTCTAGGGTTTACATTTTAGGTTCTTTTCCTTCTCTCTTGTGAGCTCAAGATTGGCTTATAGAAGGAAATTGATCAGATCCCCTCTTCTCCGAGTTTATTTATATTCATCAGTGTGAGAACCGGAGGATCTTTCATTTCAATTCAAAGTGTCTGCAAAAAAAGATGCATGCTAGATAGTGTGATGTATTATAACTTATGAAGATGATAAAGTTTTTTTTGGGTAATCGTTATGTCCGGTCAGCTTGCGCAGACCTCAACTAACCCAATGGGGGCTTGGAGAGACTTGAACTGGCGACTCCTCCCCATGGCCTAGCCTCTATTTGACAGTTGAACTGGTTCTCAAGGTTCACCGATCAGAGTTCTTTTCATTGTTGTATGTTTGTAATATGTCACCGATTCACTGGTATTGTCTTGCTATTGAGTTAATGCCAGATAAAAAGGATTTCGGTTGTAGTTTCCGAACTTGAATTCATGTCCTGTCATAAAATTCCTCCTGATTTATTAGAACTACCTCTTCCGATCGTATTTCCCCCGAGATAAAAGAACTCATGACTTCCACCACGTCAAGGTGACACTCTACCGCTTAGTTATATTTTTTCATTAAATGTGTATAGCAAATATATAGACCCACATTTACTTGTTCAACGATCACAGTTGGATTGAGATGATCCAACATATGTGATTAAAAAGGTGATGATAACCACCTTTCTTGAAAATACAAATATTCCCTCTTAAACTTTTAATTGAAAATCAGCAAAAAACAAAAACGAATGGAGTAAAACAAATTACACCAAAAAACGATCACTTTATTAGCTTTAGTTTGACATCCATTTTGATATATTTTTTCATCCGTTTTTCGTGGTTCTCCGGTTCCTTTTTTTCAAGGTTCTCTCTGGATTTTTATCCTATACATATATATATATATATATATAGAGAGAGAGAGAGAGAGATACACACATACATTATCTTCATCTATGTTCGTGGGTGGCTGGCTGTATATCATGTCCTTAAATTGCAAGTGGACGTTTGACTTTGAGTCAAAGCAAGTACTTTTCAGCTTCAAAATGTTGTGAAGTTATTTAATTTGCCATAGAAAGGTGATTGTACCATTAGCTACATTAAAGGTACTACAAATAAAATTTAGTGTTAGAAGTGGGAAGAGGTTCATGTTGTTTAGGAACGAAGAGTAGTTAAAGTCTGCTTGATAACTGTAACCTAGTTTCTGCTGCCCCTAGTGTCTTTTAACGTATTCTTTGATTATTTCGTACAAAGTTTGAACTATGACCGGCTTATGGAACCTATGTTGTTAGTTTTTCTGGTTTCCGACAATCTACTGTGCTTGAATTTGAATTTGTTTCTAATCATCTACTGCTTTTTGATTTACAGATCAATCTCTCTTTGAGTTCTCAAGATGCCGGCCACAGCGGGTAGGGTTCGTATGCCAGCCAACAATCGGGTGCACAGTAGTGCTGCTTTGCAAACCCATGGTATATGGCAGAGTGCAATCGGATATGATCCTTATGCACCCAACAAGGAAGATAATAAGAAATCTGCCCAGCCTCAATCTTCCAATGCAGAGCCTGAGGGCGAAAATGCTTATGCTAGCTTCCAGGGGTTGCTTGCGCTTGCTCGGATTACTGGATCCAATGCTGACGAGGCTCGTGGATCCTGCAAGAAGTGTGGTCGTGTTGGCCATCTGACTTTCCAGTGTAGAAACTTCTTGAGCATCAAGGAAGATAAGGATAAGGATCCGGAGGCTATTCAGGCTGCTGTTTTGTCAGGGTTAGAGAAACTGAAAGGGAATGGCAAGAGAACTGCAAATGAGAGCTCGGATGAGAGTGATGAAGAGGAGAGTGAGAGTTCAGACTCTGATTATGATTCAGAGATCGAAAGGGCTATTGCTCAGAAATATGGGAAGAGTCTGAGTAGTACATCAAAGTCTTTGAGAAAGAAGCAAGATGATGATTCTGATTCTGATGAGTCGCATTCTAAGGAGAGGAAGAAAAGGGGTAGGTCAAAGAAGAGAAGTGCGAAAAGGAGTACCAGTGATAGTGACGAAAAGGGTGGGAGGAAGAGGAGGAAAGAAAAGAGGAGGAGAAAGGACGAGTCATCGGATGAGGATCGAAAACGTCGATCTTATCGGAGGAAGAGTAGGAAGGAGAAGAGGCGAAGGAGAAGCCATCGACATTCAGATGATTCAGACACGTCTGAAGACTCAATTAGAAGGCATAAGAGGAAGAGCAAGAGTAAGAGATCAGCTATGTCTTCTGATTCGGATGCCAGCAGCTCTGAGGATTCACGGGTTGGTAGGGACAAAAGAAGGCTTGAGAGGAGGAGCAGGAAATAGTCCTTATTATCGAACAGAGTGTTTTCATTCGAAAAGGTATTACTTCCTTTCTTGTTTTTCTGGTGTTCTTTTGTTGCAGATTGATTGTTTGATATCCTTTAATCTATACAAGCATTTCCATTTTGGTACAAGTTCTATCTGATGTGACATTGTTTCTTAGTTCTGGAATAGGACTTTGGGTCAACTTGATCACTGGTCCAATTCCTATTAACAAAGAGACTAGGGACCTGTTTGTTAGCAGCTTAATGAGCTTAATGGGACTCACAGCTTATTTGGCCGGCTATACATGACTGGTTGGAGTGGCTTAATGATATAGAAAGTGGCTTATTCAGTAAGATTCTAGGGGAAGCTTTATGTGTAAAGCCAAGTTTTCTCCAAACGTGTTCATCCCAATTAAAAAACACGCTTCTTCCATTTATGAAAAAACCCTTCCGAACAAAAACATTCACAATTTGTATAGACAGATTAATCAACACATACAACTTTATTCATATAGGACTTAATGGAAAAACCAACAGAGTATCATCTAGGAAGGCCTATTTCTTTCATAGTTAAATTTTAAATAGGACTTTGGGTCAAAGAAAATTTGTGCAGAGGACTTCTGTAAGCATCTTCTGTTTATTTTAATTTGTGATTGTGAAAATGGCACCCATTGCTTGATTTGAGATTTGTGCCATGACTCTATGGAAGCATAACTAGTAGAGCATGTAAAAAGATTACTGCTGATTGAAAATTTTCCAAGCTCGAAAGCATAACATAAGTCTTCATAGTTAACCATCTGTCTTCCTTCTTACTTGAAAAGCAGAAAAGAAGCATACATCTGATTGCTCTCATCTCACTTCTTAACTTGATTGATTCATGCTTTGTCTGTTCATTCATCATCAATGCACCAAAAGTTGCAAATATATTTCTGAATCTGTTGCATGGACCTCATTGTTACACTAGTTAACAAATGACTTGATCAACATGCAAGATTAGGGTAGCAGACTAGTGGTGGTGATCAGTAGCTAGGCTAGACGAAGGAAGGGATTGGGAGCGAGAGAGGATGGGGGTAGGGTTAGTGACCTGGCGTTATACCTCCTGAGTCCTGAGTCCTAATTTAGACTAGGGGTGTGCAGTCCTTCCTATCTTGGTTATGTTTTTCTTGTACCTGATTGGAATCTGTTGCCTACTTCTAACTCGTTTTTCGAATTTTGACACTGCATTTTCTTGTTTTCAAGTTTCCTTTCATGTTCTTATTATGCTCTTTTTCTGCTTACTTTTTTGAGCGAGCTTGATCCTTTTTTCTTGCACAAGCAGCGTGTCTTGGGAAATAGCCGCTTTACTCTTTGGGTAGAGTTCAGGTCTACATACTCACCCTCCCTTGGCTCCATCTCTAATGAAACAATCGCAGACTTGAGACTTAGTTACAAGGGGTCTCATCTCATCTAGTTTTATGCCGTGTTTGGTACGTGGGACAAGACAGAACATAAACTTGTTGTCTCATGTTTGGCATGATATTAGACTAGGACATGGCGAGACCGAGTGGGACCAAAACCAAAATTTGTGGATCAAAAATTAGGTAATGGGAACAGCCTAGTAGTCTTGAACCGAGAACAATGTCTGACAAATGCAATTTCATGGTAGTAATTAGTCATCATTTATGGTTATAGTTTCTTGTCTGTGATGCCTAATAGTCTTGAACCATTCTGTGCTACATTTCTTCTTGTTGGCATGGATTGCTAATGCCTGGGGTTTTTGCAGGAAGCTGAGACTGGTGATTCTGTAGCTGTATCCATATGACTCCATTTATCAAAGTTTAGTCGATTAAAACGAATTACAAATTAACTGTTATGTACAAATCCAGATTGCATCATGTTGTTCCAGTATCTTTCATTTTTATTTGATCGTCGTGGCCAAAGAGTGTTTAGCTTTATATAGATAGATAGATGGGTGGTTTTTTTCTATTCATACAACCCTTGCAACTAAAATCTCAACCTTTAAAAATTTGATCGTCGAGTTATTTTATGAAATTAAAACACATCTGGGGGTAATTTTGGAAATAAGAAAATTCATGGAATAAATAGAGAAGGGCATTTTCGGTATTAATATTTTTACAGATAATTTCTATAATTACGAATACCCCGTTTTATGTGGGATTGATATCATAATTAGTCAAATGAAATCAACCGTTTTTTTTTCTTCTTTTTTTCTTCATGATTCTAACGAATTAGTTTCATCCATTATTGACGGTTAAGAGATCTTTCATCTTTTTTCTTTTGTCTGAAGCATTTGTTTGTTTGTTGACAACACTTTCAGCAACTTCATCTGTTAATATATAAGAAGAAACCTTAACTTATCTTAATACATGCTTGCTTACCATACAATCCATTGAGAATTGAATTATAGTAATTATAAATCAATTGACACCAATACGTTAAAATTATATATATATATATATATATATATGATTTTAAGATTCATGAATTATCTGTGATAATGTACATATAAATCGCTAAACTGCAAACTTCAATATTCATGAACCACATTTTAAAATTTATGGAACACAATGTTTGACTTCATGGAACCTATTTATCAAACATCTGTGATCATGTATAAAATCCTCAAACTTCAAACATAAGAATTAAATATCTGACATTAACGAGACTCGGGTGTTTAAAAACCCGATATCTAATCGAGTTGTAAAATTTTCAAACCGTAGGTATTGAGTTGATATTATGTGAACCCAACTCAACCCGATACCTTTTCATTTCTTGTGGAGTTTTCATTATTATGTACGTTAGACAATTACACTATCATGTACCCATCGTATACACGTATTTTTGACCTATTCTCCATCTTTATATGACTCGTTCATATATATGTTCAGTAACTGTGAACATGTAAATATGTAAAGGGCAATATAGGTAAGAATTAAAAAATATTGATAAATTATATCAAATGGTTGATGATAACAAAAAAAATGAGTATATAAATAACATATTCATGTTAGAAGAATATTTTAATGTATCAAAATATCAACCCAACTAACCCGACCAATCCGTATGATTTGGATTGGGTTAGGTTGCATTTTGGTTTGATTAAGTTGAGCTAAAAAATTTCAAACCGCAAGTATTTGGTGAACGGTCCTTTCGATTTCAAATTCATCTCTACATAAATTGGCACCCTGGGTAGAGGATGAGTGTGTGCCAATGGCCATTTACATCCTAAGCTTTCTTTTCAAGGCTTGGTTAAAACGCGAACCAACCCAACCAGTCACATTTCACACCCAAAGCTTGCTTGAAAAAACATTTAATAGGGTTTAGGGTTTCCGGACCTTTTGCATCTCTACTCGATATACACAAAAATCAGTGACACTTAAACCTCGTGGATTAGCTCAATCCAATTAACAATATGACTTGGACCTTTATGGATTCTCCTCCGAGGTGCAGTTCGAATCCTACAAGACCACCATAAACTTTCCACATTGTCCTCCAGGATTAGTGGAGGTGCGCACAAGCTGGCCCGGATAACCACGGTTTGCAAAAAAAATCAATTGCACTTCCTCAAATACCCTTACAAGTACTTGTGTATGAAAAGCAACAAGATTGTATATAATTAAACCAATAAAGCCAAAATCTTGGTACAAAAAGGGGGGAGAAGCGAACAGAGATGTGTGCGATCATTAACGGAAAAATGTTTATAAAACTTAGCAAGCACATATATCGCTTGACGATATACACATCCTTATGGTGTTTACTTGAAGAGTAAAAGCTGCAGATACTTACTAACTACCTCAAAACAAACGAGGCCGGCCAGCGAGTTATGAGCTGGTTTAGTCTGGAGTAGCGGCCCCTTGGTTGAGTTCAGCAAATCTCAATCCAACACGCATTGAATGCTTCAAAAACTTCTCAGCACACCTACGAACACACGTCTCCTCTTGCTTATCTAAAGTTTTGCGTCTGAATGTATCCACACAATCTGTAAAGCACCGCTCCACAAGTGTGTTATACATCCTCAGGCTGCAATGGAGAACGGATGATGGTAAGATTATAACGGAAATTTGTAATAGACCTCAATAAAAAGAATGAAGTTCCTAGGTTATATTAAAAAACAGGACGTCGGGAGATATATCTGGATTAAAAAGAACAAAAACTAACCGACATTGGAGAGTAAGGGGCCTTTTACCCAAACGCTTATCCGGTAAGAGTCAACACTCCCACTTACCTTACCAGGTAAGATTTTTGTCAACTAAAACAACATCGTATGCAACAATTTACACAGTAAGCACTAAGCCGCTAACCAGGTAAAAATCATCACCCTCCCTTTCCGGGTAAGACTTAGTCCTTGCAATCGCTCTTACTGGGTAAGATACTTGGTCCTTGCCTTATTAATCCGATAAGGGAAGTGGTAAATGCTTACCAGGTAAGGATTTAGTAAACAGCCCCTAAGCTAAAGATTTCCTACAACTATCCTCTGATCCCAGAAAAAAAGATATGTAGATATTTGGAGCAAGAACTATAGGTAGTAACCGTTGTCTTAAACCCAACGAAATAAACTTAGTATATCCCACATGAAGTCAAGGTCTTGTGATAAGACGATACGCAAACCTTACCACTGCCTCAAGAGACAAGATTGTGTTGCAAATGTTAAATGGCAAACCAATAAAATTATAGCAAACGGGTATGTGGCAACTAGGTCAGAGCATCTCCAACAGATTCAGCAAATAGAAATTTTTGGGGCTCAAATAGAAATCAAGTTCACTTTCCAGAATTCAAGGTTGAAAGTACATCCACAATAAGAATCCATAACTATAATCTGATCTAGAGACCCACAATCAATGCCCATGAATTCCAAGAACGTTGGGAGATTGACCAAAATAGCTAATTTCCTCGACCAAATTAACTTTTTAGCCATTTTTTCAAATTGGACTCCCATTTTAGCCAGGCATAAACTCGATTTCCCGATTAAAAAGAAGAAAAATAATATCTTTACACAAATTTGTGTAAGGATCCGCATTTGCGTAAATGTCTACGGATGAGAACGAGAATTGAGCCAGTAATGGTTCTGAACCATAATGAATCTTCCAAAAAACAGAAACGAAAATCTGCAAGAACTTGAGATCTGAATAAAAAAACCATTTGATTTTTTGGATCGAAGGAATGACATTCATAATATCCACAAATTGCCATAATTCCAACAATACTGATCTTAACTAAGAAAAAACCAAATTGCATAATTGAAAGGAGATATCATATGAAAACGCATAAAACAATAAAATAAAAAAAAGCGAACCTGTCGCGGATTTGGAGCTGGTCGATCATGGTGGACATTCGAGCCTGATCTTCCGGTGGAAGAGTTCCCAGATCTCCGAGCATACTTTTGTCCATTTTTGGCTATTCTTTTGATTCGCTCCTTCTGTTCTTCCAATGGATTAGGGTTTCAATGTGATTTGTGTTATGTAGCCGAAGGGTTTAGAAACAGTTTTGGGCCTTCTAACGGGCTTCTTGCAGCCCAAAATAGTTGGGCTTTAAAAGTTTAAAGTAGCAAGACTCTAGTCTAGAGATGGCCAAATGGGCCCGGCCCGGCCCGTAACCGCCGGAGGACCGGAACTGGGACCGGAGAGGGACCGGAACCGGCCCGGGACCGGTATGGACCGGTTGTGGACCGCCGGTTATAAACCGTTTATGGATTTTAACGTTTTTTAGGACCGAGACCGGTTAAGACCGGAACCGGTTATGTAACCGGTTATAGGACTGGCCCGGCCCGGCCTGGTCAACTAAAGTCAACGTGTATATATATATATATATATAACAAAACGTATTTATAAAACTAAACGTATATATATATACATACATATATATATATATATATATATATATATATATAACAAAACATATTTTTAAACGTTTATAAAATTAAACGTTTACATATATAACAAAACATATTTTTAAACGTATTTATAATAAAACGTATTTATATAAAACATATTAAAAATAACATATTACAAGCATATTAATAACATATTAAAAATAAATACGTTTAATTTTATAAATACATTTAAAAATATGTTTTGTTATATATATATATATATATATATATATATATATAAATTTATTAATTACCAAAAATTTGGAAAAAAAAATATTTTTTTTGCAAAGGACCGGCCGTAACCGGTTATGGGACCGGAACCGGGACCGGACGGCTTAACCGGTTACCGGTAAGCTTGACCGGTTATGGAGGATTTCACCGGAACCGGGACCGGTTATGGAGGGACCGGTTATGGAACGTTTTTGTCTTGATCGGGACCGGCCGTAACCGGTTATGGCCCGGCCCGGGACCCATTTTTGGCCACCTCTACTCTAGTCTAGGAGTAAATTGGATTTAAAACATTAGATGTATGATATAACTCCTCAGTATTTATTGCATATCAGATAGATTCAATCCGATTAATACTGATTGGATCTTATCCGATCTAATGGATATTCAATAAAAGTATCTAATTGATGAAATGGAACAGATCAGATTATCAATTAAATTGGATTGGGTTGGTTGGAAAAATCCAACATCCAACTGATGAATGAATTGGTTCTGGTCCCTTCCATAGATTGGATTGAATCAGTTGGAAAAATCCAACATCCGATTAATGATTGGATCGGTTCGGTTCGGTTCCCTTACATACATCCGATAAACGACCATAGTAAAAACTACCATATGCTTTTTGTAGATAATAAAGTTTATTAAGAAATTTATTTTAGGGAAAAGTTCAAAAACTTTAGTATATGTATTAATCGAGAGAGGAGTTGGTGCGTGTGATCGTTTTCTCGAACTTTTGTAGTTAATAAATATTTTTTTAGTATTGTAGATTTTTCAATTTTAAATGTCACTTCTCGAGTCACTTTAAAGTTCGATAAACGGGAGTTTCTCTTTTTATTAAGAAAAAAAAATGCATTTTGTTTTAAAGAAGGAAAGACGTAACGACTCATTTCATAAAGTTTAGAAACATATAATTCTTAAACTTATTTATGTAATAATATATAACATATTACTGAAGCTTTATCCTACAGATGTAATATAATAATGGTTATACAAATTTATTGATAAACTAGTCATGTTTGATAAAAATTATCTGATAAGCTAGATTGCAATACAAAAATGATCCAAAAGAGCAAGTTGAAAGATTTATTGATGTGAATTTCTGAATTTTGATGTGAGCTGATTGTGAGAACCCTGAGAATTAGTGTATCATGTGCAATGTCACGTGATTTTTTTCCATCAAATTCTAGAATTTAGAGTATTGATTAACATTTATTTATTCATAATGTGAGTTGTGTTTACGTGTTTGTGAAATAAAAAAAAATACACGTAAATAAGTTTTAAATTTTGAACCAAATACATATGAAACAAACTTATTGTGAAACAAATATATGTTAATTAATACAATGCATCTTAGCTTAGATGAAAAATCATGTGAAACAATATCCTTAGGTAAAATTTCTTACGGTTCTTACAAAATAGCGAAATGTTCGAAATGAAAAAATGTTAAATATGGTGCGAAAGAGAGGTTAATATATGAATTGTTGAAAAAATGAATTTGAAAATGCACACGTACACTCATATGAATAATTTGTAACACGGATTTATATATGGATTCTTAAATGATTTTTTTCAGTTATTCACATATAAGCTTTTATTTCGCACATTCCCACCATATTTAACCTTCTCATTGGACTTCACACACACACACACACACACACATATAGGGAATGGTTTAAACGAGAACACCTTTTTTACGAGAACGCGAAAACACCCTTTTACTATAGACAATCACATGTGATACTATTATTCCATCACATATGAATCACATGTGATACTAAATCAGAGATGCGGACGATTTTCGATGCGATCTTGGTTGCGGGCCAAGTCGCCCTTACACCACTAATCCCCCTCACAAGTATTACCACATATGATAAGAGTGTTGTTGATATGATCCTATAATCCATCAAGACCATTGCATGTGATGCTAAATCATAGACGCAGGCAACCTTTGGCGCGACCTAAGTCGTAGAACATGTCGTCCGCACATCACAGGGTCCCTCACGCGTATTATCACACGTGATAAGGGTGTTCTCGTTTTCTCGTAAAATGAAAACTACTCTCATCCGTCGATTTCATTGTTTAATCTTATGAATTTTTTTCATGAAATTGTTTAATTTTGTGAAATTGTTTAATTTTGTGAAATTGTTTCATATAATACCTTTTTTTTTTATGAAGTTGTTTCATGTATGGTTATGAAATCGTTTCATATACTACTTAATGAAATTTTAATGAAACTGTTTCATGTATTTCTCTAAAATTAAAATAATGAAGATGATAATATCCATGATTAACATCGTCCATAATAAAAATGATTAATCAATCTCTCATAATTACAAAAAAATGAATAAAATGAAAAATTATGATTGTTGGAAGGGCAGAGCCAAGATTTTAGTTTAAGCGGGCTAAAGATGTCAAACAAAATGAAATTAAAACAAAACGTTAATTAATGCAAAATATTGATGAATGTTTGTTGTCGTAAGTCTTGTGAAGACCTTAAGAAGAAATTTGAGATGTGATAAGTATATAGATTAAAAACAAGAATTCATAAACATTGTGATTTTTGTACGTTTGTGAATGTTAGAAAATAAATAAATATTTTTATATCATAATGTTAATTAAAACTCAAAATATATTTTTATCATCGAATTAACCAATATTTCCATAAATTTATTACTATAACAAAAACAAAATATATATAAATATCAATATTGTATGTCATATACATGAAAAAAAAAATCATAACTCTTTGACCGAAAATACATGAAATTCTATAAGCCAAAAAACGATATTAATATTAAAGTAGTTTATTTTAATTTTTGATGTAATAATTTTCTGATAAAATATTTGTAAATATAAATATAATAAAAGCTTATGATAATAATAAGACTTTCAAATAAATAAGATTGTCAATTAAGTAAATAACAAAAAAAAAAAAAAATTAAATGAATAAGATTGTCAATTACGTAAATAACAAAAAGAAGACCAAAAATTCGCCCCAAAGATTCAAATACGGCTCCCTTACTCATTTGGGATATGTTTAATCAACCGGACAACACACTAATATCAGTTATATATTTCTATATTATTCTATTAATGAAGAAACATTTGGGTTGGGGGGCGAGGGGCAGCACCAACCTCTACTGGCTACGCCACTAAAAGGGGAGGGGGAGGGGGAGGTTAAACGAGTATGCGGTCAATTTGTGAGAAGACAAGTTCCAAGATCACATATAACTACAGAGTAAAATCACATATGATACAACATGTCAATTGATTACGGATGACTTGGTCAAGGTGACCAATGTTACAGGAAAAGCCGTTTATATGATAACCAGTAAACGTAAAACGTTTGTATTATATGTGATCTTAAAACCTTTTGTCCTTCTCTCTAATCTATTATCGTCTTGTATAATCATTACCCTGTTTATTATATATATATATATATATATATATATATATATATATATATATATATAGGGAAGGGTTCAAACGAAAACCCCTGTGATTTGCGAAAATACGAGAACAGCTTATTAACCTCATATTGTGATAACAATAAAAATGAAATTAAAACAATTCAAAAAAATTGAGAGGCAAAAGGGTAATATTGGAATTCAAAGTGAGAAATTTTTAAAAACACGATCACACTAAACCCAATAATTTGGATATCATAATGTGCTATTATGGTTATCGCTTATTTCAACACGATTTGGTATGATTTGGGTGCGATATGGGTATGATAATCATGTGATTATCACACAATTATCACAAGGATTCCGCTCGACTAGGGTTAACTTAGGAAATCGACTACCGATTTGGTGTGATATGAGTGTGATAATCATGTGATTTCACTATCATAACAGCACACTGGATTTGATCATGGTTTCGATCGGTTAGGGTTAGACAATCACACATTTATCACAACGATTACTCATGGTTTTGATAGGTTAGGATTAGACAATTACACATTTATCACAACGATTACGGGCGAAATCCACTAAACGATTTGGTGTGATATGAGTGTGATAATCATGTGATATCACTATTATAACATCACATGCACACTCAATTTCATCATGGTTTCGATCGGTTAGGTTCGGGTTAAACAATCACACATTTATCACAATGATTACTCATGGTTTCGATAGGTTATGGTTACACTCGATTGATCATGATTTTGATAGGTTATGGTTACACAATCACACAATTATCACAACGAAAGAGAAGAGAGTGAAAACGAACGTGCAAGGAAAAAAAAAAGATAATTATAATTAATTAAATAAAATAAAAAAATTATAAAAATTACTTAATTACATTACTGCCCTTAATAATTTATTTATATTTAATATAAGTTAATTTATTAATTAAAAAAGTTTGAGGTTATTAAGTTGTTCTCGCGTTCTCATAAATCATAAAGATTCTCGTTTGAACCTCCATATATATATATATATATGTATATAATTCTTAACATATTCCTACCCACTAATAAAAATGTAAAAAAAGTCAAACTTTGTAACTAGAAGAAAGGTAGTCATGAGGTGGATGATGATGAAACCACAATTAAATATGATCCCAAATGCTTTTCTAAAAGGAGAAAAAGGGAATACAATACAACTTCATTTCAATCAACACATACAATTATACATCAAAGCACTTATGAAGACCCAAACAAACTCCAATTTTATAGCGTTTAAGCAAACATGGAAACCCCACTGCAATTCCAAATTATCAAACATTCATACCCATAGCATACTTTTCTTTATTTATTACACGGAAACACAACACGAAAACGCACTTCATTTCATTTCAAACACATAATTTCTTTTGTTTGGGTCGTTTCATCGGTCGTTGCTTAACAGTTGCAAGGATCACACTTGCAGTTTGCGCCACACTTGCATCCGTTTCCACCCTCAGCAACGAAGTTGGTCTCGGATCCCTCGGCAAATCTGTATTTACATACCAATATCAGTCATTTTATTTATTAGAATATGTAAAATCCCTTTAAATATCTCTCTAAAGAAACTCTTATAGATCTTTTCCCCAAGGGGAGGGGGGATATAGAGGTTTGATGGTATGTGTCTAGTCAACATGAGACTCCAACACACCTCCTCTACACAAAATCTTAAATAAGATTTTAATTAAATTCATGATCTTCTGATGAGTAAAGAGATGTTAGACAATCACCCTATAACAAAGGGTAATAATTGTATCTAAGTCCCTAGATGTGGGAGACTCTGACTTTTGATATTATGTTAAGATATCAAGTTCGTCTATGCATCAAATTGAAGTAGTAGAGGTACGTACGTCATCTGGGGTGCAACACCGTCCACGATCACGGTGGTGGTGGTCGACATCTCGATGTCGGCTCTGTCCAAATAAAATAAAGATAACCCGTTTTCAGAAAATAGAAATTTTCGAGAAATAAATGGAAAAAAAACATATTTGCAGGAAAAAATATAAAGAATTGAAGAAATTACGAGTTGCAGTTGCAGCTGCTGCCGCATGAACAGCTTGAGCCACAGCTGCACTTTCCGCTTGAGCAAGACATGATTCGAAGGTTTTGAGATTACTTTGGTAAAATACACAAATGAAATTCGTTAAAGCTGGGTGATTTTAATGTGTGATCATGGGGGGCTATTTATAGAGCATCCGAGGGATTACAGCCGTACACGTTTATGGTTGTGATAGCATTTGCGTATGGTGTTTCTTTGAGTTGATGATTATTCCATGTGTCACTTTCGCTCCTTGGTTGGGTTTATTGATTTTATTGTTTTTTAAATCTCAAAATAGATACAACTAATTACTATTTTAAGTTGCTTTAAAATAAACATTTATTTATTGCAAATATTTAATAGACCCAAATCGTTGATAAAAGAGATTTATGATCAGAACGTAAGAAGGGATTTGGATCCTTGATCATATTTAATTTCAAACCCATCTGTAAATCATGTTTGACACATGAACTGATATGGTGCATCTCATCTTAATGTATATCATATGATGGAGATATCTTATTACGTTTTTTATTTTAATTTTCATTCTTACTGGAACCCAACTCATATTTTATATACTAATTATAAGCAAAAAATAAGATTATAATCGAAACAATATTTAGGTTATAAAATTTATTCGTAAAATAAATATCGGATTTATTTTAAAAGACTTAATACAAATAGAGGATTATGTCCATCCCAAAATGAAAATGATTAATACTGTCTCGCACGGACTTATGAAATAGCTCAGATTCATCTACATCGGTTCAACTGATTTTCGTAAATATAATTTTTGAGGTATGAAAAGGGATATGTTAAACTTCGGGGATGTTGCGGTATTCCAAAATATCTGAAAATACAAGGGACATCAATTTAAAAATCGAAAAAGTTCCTCAAAATCAACTGAAAAACACAAAAAGGTTCATTGAAATCAACCAAAAGACTTAAAAAAAAATTCTCTCGAAATCAACCAAAAATTTGATGAATCTCTCGAAACCGTGGAATTCGGATAAAAAACACATCGGAATTTATGCTTAATACATCGTATTGCGTCTTGTTCAAAAGGTCGATTTCATTTGAAAAAATATATTTTATTCAACAGATCAACACAATTATTTGGTATTAAAAAATAAACTTATAATTAATCTTGTTTAGAATTTGATTAAATATATTAAGGCATGGAGAATGGCTCCATCTTGACATTCTCCTAAAGAAATTGACATATACATTTTTAATGTTATCAGTTTATGGGTATCATTTAAATAAAACGGTAATCAACGTCAAATGATCCTCTTATAACGCTCGAAACCATGTTTACGGAATTTGCGAGGGGAATAAAAAATTTGAATTCTTGTTTCGTGTATATCTGATAATGATATACGACAACTTACTGATCTTTTAAATTAGATGTATGCCCAATAGACAATGAATAAGTTTATTGAGGCTGGTATTGAAATCTTCAACGAACAAACTGATCAAAGCATTTTTGTCCTTAACAAAAACACAAAAGGAGAAAGGTCGGATTTAATTCCCTTTTCAAAGCAACGTGAAACCTTGTTGATGTAAACTGGTTTAACGTTGAAAATTAATTTTAATTAATTATGACTTGACGGGTAACAACTCAAAGGAAACTTGCAAATTTGGCAATACTTGGAGTATTTATTCTTCAGTAGCATGCTCTACAGATACGTGTAAATAATTTTTTACGGAATAGGTAGCGATGACGATATATTTTTATAGTATTCCTGTAATTAAGTCTTCGATGAAAAAGAGAATGGATGTAAAAGTCAGATGATGTTAAAAGTCATTGACCAGTTATATTTACCATCTGTTTTATAGATAAATCATATGTCTCCTATCAGGGTTACGGTAATTAGTTAAAGATTACATAGAATAATCTCGTTTTTTAAGAAGATATATAGCAACCATATGATTTCTATTGTTTCATACCTTCAGTCTAATAAATATCTGGTTTCATAAATATCTCAATTATTTTTTGATTAAAGCGTCAATAATAATGAATGAATTTTGATCATCTTCCATAAATATTCAAATCATAATGAATAAACTCTCATCATTTCTATAAATATATCGTTTAATTGCTTTGTATTAGTTGTACTAATGAAAATGTTTGTATTTTAAACCTCCCATATATCAATTTTTAACATATTCGTACCCACTAGTCAAGATGTAAAATAGTCAAACTTTGTAACTACAAGAAAACTAGTGAGGTGGATGATGATGACACCACAATTAAATAGGGGAATGCTAAATGTACCTTTTTTTATGTCAGAATTAAATCAAATCATGCATTTAGAATGTAAAAAATAAGTCTTGATGTTGATGTATGTCTGGGGGAGAAGTGGAAATATACTTTAGGCTTTTGTGATCTGTGAAGATGTCATAGGTCTCACCATAAAGTTAATGCCACCAAATTTTCAAGCCAAAAATAATTGAGACAAGCTCTAGATCGTGGGTCGGATAATTATGGTTTCAATTGATGTGAAGCATAAACGATAATCTTTCTGTGTTGCATCAAAACACAACCTAAACCATGATGTGATGCATCACTATACACCTGAAACCCACTACTACCAGAAGATAATGCTAAAAGTGGTGTCATTACAAGTCGGTGTTTTAGTTTGTCGATGTTGCAATCCTGAGCCTCACCCTTTATGCTTTCGTGTAATAATTGGGGGAACAAGCATACAATCTTCGAGAATTTTTCCACAAACTGTCTGTAATAACCTGCTAAACCAAGAAAACCATGTATCTGGGAAACAATGAAACAATGGTCGGTATAGGCCATTTAGTGATAGCCTCGACCTTGGCAGGATCAACTCTTACTCCGTCGATTGATATGATGTGACCTAGAAAGGTTACTTGTTCCAGCCATAACTCACAGTTTGAGAATTTAGCATCCAATTTCTTTGTCCGAAGAACTTCTAGTACCGTAAGTAAATGAATAACGTGTTCCTCTTTTGATCTAGAGTAGATTAGGATATCATCGAAAAATACAATCTCGAAATCGTCAAGATCATCCTTGAACACTCTATTCATGAGGTCCATAAAGATGGATTGGGCATTCGTTAAACCAAATGGCATAACAGTGAAGTCGTAATGGCTATACCAGGTACAAAATGTTGTTTTAGGTATATATCATGTTCCCAGACTCTAGCCGATGGTAAACGGACCTCAGATAGATTCTAGAAAAGTATTCTCCCTCTAGAGTTGATCAAACAAATCGTCGATCTAGATCTTTTAATCAAGTTTCGAAATTTATTATGATCTTAATTCTATAATTTATATTTGATATTTATGGTTTGATGATTTGAGTTTGAGTTTTATAAGATGTAGTAGTTGGGGCATCGGCTGCTATGAAGTTTCTATGATAGCTGGAAGTACCATAGCATTCTCATGATTGAAAGCTCGGGAAATGAGCTTAGCCTAGGCATATGAGCGGAAGGCAGGTGGATCGATCCTAAGATGGTGCCATGTCTGCGATGTTTCACGAAGGAGATTAAGTTATGATGTGCCTACGTACCTTTCCGAGAGCCTAGGTAGACTGATCATCTCTTGGAAGATTGCGACACACAAAGGTGGTTCATATAAAAATCTCTTCCGGTAGTATTTTTCGAGTAATGAGTTATACTGGAAACGAGTCAAATTTTTGGGAGATTGCAACAAGCAAAGGTTGACTTTTAAGATATCATTTTGATATTCGATTTTCAATTAAAATAACTTGTTGATCTAAAAGTTGTTTAACGATTCACATGTTGATATCTCATTTTATTATGTCATTTTCATACGTTCCAGTTTATAGTATAAAACCCGTTTATTGAGTCATAACTTAGCCAAAATTAATAAGTAAGAATGCATTTAACAATATATAGACGTACATTTTGAATTTCCCATTAAATATTAATCTAAATGTTTTTTTAATAACAATTAAAAAAGAGAAAAAACAAAAGGGTAAATGAGGTCAAATTTTCAGGATACAACTTCATTTGAATCAAAGCATTTATAAAGATCCAAACAAGTCAAATTTCATAGCGTTGACTTTACATAAACATCAAATTAAATTAAGCAACCATGGAAAATCCATTACAAATCCAAATATCACATAATCATACCATGGTTTCCTTTTTTATTTATTACATGAAAACACAACACGAAACGCACTTTATTTCATTTCAAACACATAGCTTCTTTTGTTTGGATCATTCTGCCTGTCGTTGCTTAACAGTTGCAAGGATCACACTTGCAGTTTCCACCGCACTTGCATCCGTTTGCACCCTCGACAGCGAAGCTGGTCTCTGTTCCCTCGGCATATCTGCAATTTTGCAATCTCATATCAGTGGTTTTATTAGAATATGTGGAATCCATTTAAATCTATCTTTAAGATGAACCCTTTTAAAGAAGACATAAAATACTCTCCTAAGGGGATACTCTTTTCCATCCATAAACAGAAAGGGGTTGAGATTCCTAGAATTTCCTGCTTGTCTACATCGTGGATCCAAAGGGGGGAAGACCTATTCAAATGGAGGCAAGACGGGCCCATAGGAGAAATAGTGTGTCAGTTAAGTTCCAAGATATGGTAACTCTGTATGTCTGTCTCTGATATTATGTTAAGATATGTGGAACCCCTTGAGCCTAATCTTAAAAAAACTCTTATAAAGAGAGGAGATTCCGACATATGCAGATGTTTGTTGATCTGTGTGCATAGCTGATGTAAGACTCCGACACATTTATTCATTTCATGGCACGATCTATCTATGCATCAAATTGAAGTAGTAGAGATACGTACGTCATCTGGGGTGCAACACCGTCCACGATTATGGTGGTGGTGGTCGACCTCTCAATGTCGGCTCTGTCAAAAAAAAAAAAAAACCCGATTTCAGAAAATGGAAATTTTCGAGAAATAATTGGAAAAAATGAATAATTTTTTAGAAGAAAATATATATATAAAAAAGGTTGAAGATATTACGAGTTGCAGTTGCAGCTGCTGCCGCATGAACAGCTTGAGCCACAGCTGCACTTTCCGCTTGAGCAAGACATGATTYGAAGGTTTTGAGGTTAATTTGGTAAATAGACAAATGAATTCTTTTAAGCTGGGTGATTTTATTGTGTGATCATGGGRAGCTATTTATAGAGCATTCAAGGGATTCCAACCGTACACGTGTATGGTTTTGATAGCATATGCGTATGATTTTTCTTTGAGTTGATGATTATATATTCCGTGTGTCACCTTCGCTCCTTGGCTGAGTTAATTGATTTTATATTTTTTTTAAATCTCAAAATACATACGACTCAATACCATTTTAAGTTATTTTAAAATAATTTTTATTTATTTGTAAATATTTGATATAATAAAAATCAAATATCTAAAATATGCATTGATTATAAGCAAAAATTAAATTTACAAACAAAACAATGTATGTGATTAAAAGATTAAGGAATATTTAAACACAAAACATGTAAATATTATAATTATATAAATCAATTTTAACCGTCCATCAATCCCAATGAATATTTGGTTTTATAATATATTTTGATTATTTTCAAATTTAAAGCAATGGTCATAATAAAAGAACTCTATTATTAATTTTAAAAAAAAACACTTTATCGTCTACTATAAATATCTCGATTGTTTCTAAGATTTGTTCCTGAAAAAACTCTCGTATTCAGTTGGTGTTTTCATCTAAAGCGTCAACCTGTTCTTGAGGTGTCAGATGGTTTAGGGATTGAGCTCCATTCGACACTTTGCTCTCGGTGTGATTGTAACATCAAATCGATTGACCATTGCTTCGTTAGATGCAAGTTAATTCTCAGTGTTTGGAATCAGATATTTCACTGGTGGAATATGATGGATATCGTCAAATTGGAGAAACATAACAAAGAGTTCTCGCAGGCGGTACTTTGGGTTGCCTTATATACAATATGGTAGTCTCGAAATCAACTCATGTTTAATTCTTATCCATCGGGTTTTGGGTTCTGGATATAGTCATTGTTGTAGGCAGTGTCCTGCCATTCTTTAAGGTTTTTTCGTTGTCTTTTGTTTCTTTCCTTTCTTTTGCCGCTTGTGTGGTGCTTTTATTTGTCTCTTGGTTTCTACGTCTTGTAGAATCCGTATACTCTTTTCTTGGATTTATATTATGTTTGTCTTTCAAAACAAAAACTATTTAAATTGTTTCACAATATGAAAATTTTAAGATTTGTAATATTTATATGGTTTACATTTAAAATCCGGCTTCAAAAATTATCAGTGAAACAAATATTGCATTTATTTTAAAACACCAAATACAAATAGAGGATTATGTTAAGACCAAAATGAAAATATTTATTAAATATCTGATGTTTAAATAAATATCATATATACTTTAAAAACAAACAAATTATCGTTAAAACATAACCTTTTTTTAATTATTGACTTTTAAATTTTTTAAAATAAAACATATATATATATATATCCTTCTTTTTAGTAATTATTTATGTCTCGATTATAAAAAATCAACATGTATTTATATTTAATTACTTAACTAATTTGGTACTTAAAAAAAAACACATACGTATCATTAAGTTGTTTAGATTTGATTAAGCCAATTGAGGCATATGGAGAATGGCTCCATTTTATTCCTGACATTCTCCTAAATAGATTGAAACATATATTTATAACCTTATCTTTTTAAGGGACCCACTTATATAAAAACATAATCAAAGTCAAATGATTCCTTACGGCAATTGATAACCATGATTTTCGAAATTTACAAGGGAAATAAAAAATTTGAAATCTTGTTTTATGTGTATTTAGTAATTGATAT